GGGGGGGGGGGGGGTATGCCACTATTTTAGTAAAAAAAGGTGGCATGCCACTTTTCTAGGGAAAAGGGCACACCCCATATTTTGCATAAATTTGGTTCAAAGTTTTAAAGCAGTAAAAAGATGGGAAATCATTTTCAAATAAGATTCAATAAAGAATTATGTACTGAGCATGGTAATCTACATCAATATACGACAGTGCACTCCTCAGCAGAATGGGGTAGCTGAGAGACGGAATAGGACCCTGATGGAAATGGTAAGGAGCATGATGGGACATGCTAAACTTTCCCTAGATTTTTAGGGAGAAGCTGTTTTGACAGCCAATTATATCATTAATAGGACTCCCACAAAAGTTGTCCCACTAACTCATGAAATTTTCGTTAGTTGTGCTCTGTCCCTTGATCATCTCAAAGGGTGGGGATGCTCTGCCCATGTCCTAATACCCCATCAAAATAGGACAAAATTAGATCCTAAAACTGTTAAGTCCATTTTCGTAGGATACCCACCACAGGGTAAGGAATATCGTTTTTATAATCCTGATACAGATGTTGGAATAATTCCTTGAGGATCATGACACCTTGAAACAAGCCAAGTTTCATGAGATAAAAAATGACATTAGTCAGGCCGTGGATCTCGAACCACCTCGTCCTAGGGGAAGTAACCAATTGGAGAAAACCTAACATTTTCACTTACGTAGGAGAATAATATGAGAGAATTGAAGAAGAATCCCTACATGAACCCTGTTCCTACCAAGAAGCAATAACCTATCATGAAAAGGCACGATGGGAACAACCCATGATTGATGAATTTAACTCGATCAAAAAAACAATGTTTGGGAACTAGTGAAACTACCTCCTGATAGAAAGCCCATAGGCTGCAAGTGAATTTATAAGAAAAAACTAAACTCAGAAGGGAAGGTGGAGAAATACAAAACCAGATTAGTTGCTAAAGGCTTTGCCCAAAAAGCAAGAATAGATTATGATGAAACCTTCTCCCCTATAGCAAAATTCCCTTCCATTAAAATCCTAATAGCTATAGCAGCCCATTTCGACTTCGAGCTCCACTAGATGGATGTTAAGGCTGCATTTCTGAATAGGGAGCTAGAAGAAGAAAGCTAGAAGAAGAAATTTATATGAGATAACCAGAGGGCGGCTTCATAAAAAAGGGTA